AACCCAAACTCACCAAACCCAAACTGTTTGGGTTTGGGTCATGCCTAGTTGAATCAGTTCTGTCATTTAAAAAATCTTTTCTCTTCTTGAATATTCTGCACTGATATAATTAAGCACTTATGTTTCTTGAACCTTTCAAAAGGATGAAAAAAAGGATAGATGTATATGTAAATATTTAACATAGTCTATTATACTCTTGCTATTATAACTCTGATTATCTTAAGTCGTGTCTACTCCCCGTTATATATATTGTTATTAATTTGCTATTGCGTTTGATATGTGTGAATGTATCTTGATCTTTATATGCTTATTTATTTATATCTTTACAAATATATTATGTAACAAAGTCGAATACATTCTGATACGTTCATCTTACTTCTTACTATTTATTAATTTCATTCATCTTATCTAGTAAATAGCATGTAAGATAAATTATGAATATACAATTACTAATTCTTATGAAAATAATAAAATAAATATTTAAAAAATATGGTAAAGACCTTACTTTATCACTATTGGTATATACATATATTACATTTAAAACCACCATCTGGTTGTTTCGTGAAATATTCAAAAACATCCTTGTTTGTATTTGTTGTTGTTCGTTTTAATGCTTCTTTATAAACCGTTTCAGTGCTTTCATTTAAAGGATCATTTTCAATTTCATTTGTTGCAACATCCATATTAACTGAATCTGGACCTGGAATAATTTCATTAGTAACAGAATTTGATGTTGTTATTTCTTCTGTCAAATCAGAATCCATTGTATCATTTGATTCATCTGGTTGATTATTATCATTATCTTGATGTAGTGCAACCGGTTCATTCATTGTCGAACAATTTACCGAAGTTTGAGAAGAATTTACCGAAATTTGAGAAGAATTTCTTCTTGAATTTGACTTTAATATTTTTCGTCCAAGTGTAGGACTTCCTGTTGTTGATTTTGCACGATTACGAACAGAACAATGATTTGTGTTTTGAGGAGAATTTTGTGTTTGAAATGAAATAGTTGATTTAGTTTTTGATCTTAATTCACGTTCTGGGACATCATTTGTAGTTGATTGTATCTTTGGCTTCATTTTTAACTCTTAATGTTGTATGTATTTAAATCGAATTAAATAATTTTAATATAATAAATCTTTTATCCAAAATAATTTTCACTATAATAAACTCGTATACGTTAACGAAATGAGCTTGTATTCGTTAAAGAGATGAACTTGTATTCATAAACGAAATGAATTTATATTCATTAACGAAACGAACTTGTAGAAAAATAGTTCAACCGTTTACACTTATTCTGTTCCTTTGAACCGTAAATGAATAGTTATATAGAGAAAAGAAAAGGACAAAAATAAAAACAAAAACATACTTTTCGTTTTTTCCATCGTATAAGAAAAGCACGTTTGTCTTAAGTTTCACTTTTCTCATAGCTTATATTAAAAATGTCGAGCGTTCAATAAGATAGTTATTTCAATAGATCTTGTCGACACAATTATTTTTATACAAAGAGAATAGATTTTAATTTTTGAACGATATCTTTTAATGAAACATAGATATGATGATATAATTGCACAAGAACATAAAGAAAATTTTCTGATGTAGTAATTACACTTTTACCAATTAATTAAAAAATGCCAATTAAATTCTATTTAAGTAAAGCTAAAACAAAACGTTCTTATTTATTATAACTACTAGTTCAAAAATGGAATGAATATAAGAGTATGAAATCGGTAGAACACTTTTTTTCTTTCTCCAGTATTATCGAAATATCTCTTATATAATACCTACATGTTCTTTGATAAAAAAACTACAGCTTCAATTATGTATAAAATCGATCGTAGATAATGTGTGAAAATTCAGGAAAAAAACTAATAAAACGAAATACATTAGCTATTTAATCTAATTAATACCAAAAAAGTCATCAACATAGCTTCTGCACTGGTAAACAATATCTTGTAAATCTTTTCTATGTTGTATATAAAAAAAGCAGTACTATATAACAGTACTCAACATAAAGTAAAAAGTTATAGATCAAAAACGAACAACATGTGATATTGTGCAGCAAGTAATTCAAATTTCTTTGCAAAGAGAATGTTCTAACAGCAGTAAAATATTGTCACTATAAAAAGTGAAATAATACTGATCATCATCTGAAACGATATCGAGTAATTTAGAACTTCTTCATGTTGACATTTATGTTGTGAGAAGTTGGCATTTACTTTGAATCATACATTTTATCGAAATGAGGTGTCAGGATGTGTATTCATACTTATACTAACTATCTTTCTCTGACTATATTCTAATACCTTCACTTCGAACCGTAGCAGTCTTTTTCTATCTTATAGTTCCTTAAATCGTATTAGTTCATGAAAATTGGTATTTTTTAACCTTTATTTTATGTTATTGTCCATTTCCTTGGCAAAGTGATATTTTTATAAATCGCCGTCGAATATTCTGCATGTTATCAATACAGAATACAGGAAAACCTCTCATAATGAAGACCTCTCCATAATGAACACCTCCGGTTTGAACACATTTTTCAGTCCCCCCGATCGATTTTTGCTGTAAATAGACCTCCGCAAGATGAACACCTCCGACCTCTGAACAATGAACGCTTTTTTTAGTCCCTTCTGTAAAAGAAAACCTCTATATAATGAACATACAGGGATTAACTGTACGTTCTTCTATGAAATACAGAGCTGAAAAAATATGCTGTTCATATTAAGGAAATGGTAAATCAGTTTTTGACGGTCAACTCATCGTAACAAGCTCTGTCGCATGTATGGATCAAACAAAATAATGTGATTAATCAGCGATGAGTTAATCGATTCTTTGTGACAGTGCAATATACATTCTATCTTCGATTGTAAAATGAAACAGAACACACACGTTAACTTTGTCTATAAAAATGCAATTAATTAGCGAAAATGAAAATAACGCTTCATATCGCACAATTGCTGCGAAGCACAAAATCTCGGTCGGTAGTATCTCAATTACTGACTTTTCTTAGAAAAAATAAATAGATGTGAATAATAGACAAAAATGCTTTCTTTTACTAGTTTTTGTTTAAAACGAAATAGATCTTTAATATTTTAAAGATAAAAAAATGTTTTTTTTTATTTTTCACTTAATGATTGAATAAATATGTGTAATAATTGAAAAAGATAGTGTTTTAGAATTAATAGTAATAAATTTTAATATCAAGATGCATAGCTATCATTTGTCCAACCTAATATTATATGGTGTATATCTAAACCTTTATTCAATATGAAACCTCTGTAAGATGAACACCTCCCCTAATGAACACTTTTCAAGCGGTCCCATTAGTGTTCATCTTAGGGAGGTTTTACTGTACATCCATAAACTGGTAATGAACAACTACAGCATATTATTTTAATTTCTGATCAAAGTAGAGGTATTTTATTTTATTAACTTTACTTTACTTTATTTTACTTTTCCGATAAAGTAAAATAACTTTACTTTATCAAGTAAAGTAAAGTAACTGATTTTACTTCACTTTACTTTACTTTACTCAGTAAATTAAAGTGAATTACTTTACTTTACTTTACTTTTTCAAAGGAAAATAAAGATAAAGTGCCACCCCTAAGCTAGAGAGATGAATTCAATTAAAAAGTAATATTTACTTAAACTGTTGATAAAGGATCGGATCTAACATAATTATAAACAAAATAAAATATGAATAATAGTTTATACCTCGTTAAATCATTACATATACTACAAATCCTACATTAATAAATTAAATAGCAGAATGACAAAATGATGATACTAAAATAAATTCTTCGGTAAACAGAAAATCTAAAATAGATAAATGAATAGAATTGATTTATAAGAAGAAAGTTATATCTATACTGATTTAAATAGCCACTGAAAAGCTCTATCTAATACTCTATGCACCAGGATTTCATCAGTGCGTTATAAAATCAATGTTTCTCAAAATCTCTATATCATCCTTTTCAGGTTCATAACTGTCTTTCGATATTATGTGTACTTGATAATGACATTTTGAAGAGCTCGAAACTCTAAACAATTTAAAGAATCACCATATTTTTGGGAAATTTCCTTTACGAAAGTATAAGCAACATAGAACACCAAAAGAACGAATTAATTGTCGATTTTCAACGATTCATTGATGACATTCTTTTTTCTGTTTTATAATACTTTACAACCACATTAATAACTTCCACGATCTAATTAAACACTTTCCTGATACCTACAATTAAAGCAAACGAAAAATAAAAATAAATAAGCTAATACCAGCACTATAAATAGTACAGCAGAAGAAAGGTGAAACTGGACAGCGATCATCTAGCTTTACCGAGAAAAACATGTTGAAACTACAGAGATATGAAATAAACGACGACAGAATAAAAGAACAAAAACGACTAACATATGTGAGGAGTACAGAAGAAAAAAGATATATATGTGAACAAAGAGAACAGAAGAAAAGATATATATGAAAGAAGAGGATGATGTAAATCATACTCTAACATCAATCTTTACGTAATAAGTAATTATTCAAAACTTTGTCAGTCAATACTTTCTTCTTATCTGAATAAATGACGATGAAAATTAAAAATCAGTACATTCAACTCATCAAAATGTAATATATTCATGATTGTTTTCATCCTAATCAAGAAGATGAGTGTTCACCGGTATTCAATTTGTAAACCATTATCATTCATAATTTCATTCAATACCTTCTAGTTCTTGCTGTCGTTCGAGTAACATAATGAGATAAATCATTTGCTCTCTTAGAAGAAAATAAATTTTGTGAAAATAAAAGAGATACATATGCACCTGTATTGGCTTTAGAAATTACTATCGGTGGCTGTAAAATAAAATAGTTTGTTTGATAGATATCAAGCAGAATGAAAAGTAAAAATCCATTCATTCCTTTTACTAATATAATGAAGAATAGGTGTTGTTAGAGGATAGCATAGGCGGCGGAACGATTTCATTCTAGGGTAGGCTCAGTTTTACAAACGAATCACTCAAAGTAGCAAATTCAGGGGTGCAGAATATGCTCTTCTGCGCGAACGCGCGGTCGGGGAAATTTTGAAAAATGAGTGACTTTGAAAATTTTTCTATAGGGAAATAATAAAGAAATTTTTAGATGAAAATATTATTTTATACGTAAATGATCTGATATGTTCATTAGGGTAGTACATTTAAAACATATTGTTGTCTCTTCTTTCTTTTCACTTATTTAACAAAAATATTTTAAAAAAAGCTTTGTTTTACTTGAATGCTGATGGAAATTTCTGATTGTTTTTTTCTGCGTTCGGGGTAGTTTTTTTTGTTTCTTACGGAAGATTCTGCAGCCCTGAGCAAATTAAACGAAGATTTGTTTAGCTATTAATCGTTTAGTCTTTCTTGCTGACTTTAGTTATCGTTGAAATTTAATAAATACATGATGCTGTACTGAGAACTATTATTAGTGTCTGTTTTTTACTTTGAAAAGACATAATCTGACTTTGTTTAGCCGGCATTCCTATGTAAAAAAAACTTTGCGAGGAAATCAACCGAAATATGTTTAAAAATCTATTACAATCATACGCTTTTAATCGATTTTTAATCAAAAATAATCGAAAAAAAATCGAAATTTTCTTGATTATTACAATAGACTATGATTATAATTCATTAGAAGTTCGTGCAAAAGATTGATTTTAATTGACTTTTGCCCGAGACAAAATGGACAAACTGAAACCGATTTTCATCAATTATAATAAATTTTTTTCGCGAACTTTTAATTAATTATAATCGCAATCCATTGTAATAATTAAGAGAACTTTGGTTTCTTCGATTATTTCTTATTGAAATCGATTAAAAGTATGTGATTATAACAGATTTTGACTCCTTTTTAATGAAGCTTTATCTGATTTTTACATTATCTTTCTACATGGGTTGTATACGAAAAGAATAATGATATATGAGTATCTAAAATTCAAAGCTTATTTTAAACAGAAGTTTAAAACAGACATTAAACTCTAGAGTTTGAAAAACAAACAACTCAATATCGATACAGACACCACATCAGCAAAATCTCATAAAAACACTT